TATTTAGTGTTACCTTTAAAAAGAAACACACTGTATTACAATAAATAAAGGAATTGTAATCCTAAAAAAAAAAGAAAAAATACATACTGTGTTTTTTCTATAATAATTAATTTTTAACACTACCTCTTAATAAGTCAGAAGATGGACAATATTCCTGCGGTGGGTTGGATATAAATCAAACTAGATCTTAACTACTCTCTAGCTCTAAGAACAATTTGAAATTTTCATCAAAATCGATGGAATAGTTTTTGAGTATATAAGCTACAAACACATTACATTCAACTATCATATTTGTTCTAATTTCTTTATTCGAGACCATAAACACGAAGATTCCATTCATGATTTTACTTCATCTATTACAGTTAATAATAGCAACCATAAATAAACGATAAAATTCAATTTCGAGTCCCAAAATCATCATGTGAGCACCTCTTTAAAACGTGAACTTCGGAAAATCTTATCTTAGTGTAGCATTGCATAGTGTTTGTTTGACAATTTCGTAATTTTGACAAATTTTGTCAAAACTTGAACTTCAAATACATATTATAAAAAAAATTCTATGTATGTTGTCTATGACAAAAATACAATGTATCTTTAATGTTTTAAAATTGTACATCGCTAATAATCACATAAGCTTATGAAGAACTTTCTATTAAAATTTGAAACTTTTTGATCGAACAAAAAATATTTTACCGATATTTATGGTTAAGAAAATTGAAGATTGAAAATACCTCAAAAGAGTCAAAATATTTTGAATAATCTACCATGTATAGAAAATGCTTAAAGAAACATCTGACGAAAATTCGGAGTATCTATATAGTTCTAATAATTGAGCTTAGCTTAGTCGAATAAACTTCAAAATAATAAAATCGATTTTGTCAAAAACTGATCTCGCTAAAAAAATTCCCGTTTTCCCTAACTTAAGATTCTAAGCGAAGCGATGAATGTATTTCTTTCGTTTTTCCCAATTATTTAGAAAAGTACCTACTGAGAATTTTCGAACTTTTAGAAAAGATATTAAAGTTAACAATTCAAAAGTTCCTACTGTTCCTAGTTCGTTACTGCTCAAAAAGGCGACGAGTCACAAAAAGCACATATGTACATATATATACACACACATATCATTGAAAAATCAATAAATTCAGCTCAGAATATGATATACGGGGTTAATGGTGATACATTTAACTTAAGATACTCTTCAGAAAAAACTAACGTTTTAGTAGATTTCGTTACAACAGTATTCAGTCGTTCAGAAACACTGTTTTAAGAAATAATAATATTGTTTTAATATTTTTCATCATTATAATTTGTTAAGTCTTTGTTCTTTAGAATGCCAGCATTTTATACATTTTCGATTTCATATTCCATAGCAAAATATTATTTGGAGTATTTCTGCAAATCAAATTTCAGGCAAGTAGTTTATTGGTCATAAGTGCTTAAAGTTTTGATGAGAGGAGTAGAGGAACGACATTATGCGAGATGCCCCTCCGTGTATGATAGTACTACATAGTCAAGCTCATAGTCAATTTAAATACATAATATTATAACTCAAACACTTCAAACTTCGAATTGTATGTATCGAAGTACTACAAAAGTTCTACTTCTGTTTTGGAACAAGGAATTAAAATTACAGGTTATAAAATTAAAAACATTAGGTAAAAATAAAAAAAATTAATTTTTTTCAGAAAAATTTTTATTTTTCAACGACTTAAAATAATATTGAAAAAAATGTTTATAGTTTTTGAAAAAACGAATGACATGCGTTAGAAGGATCACTCTGTATTTTACAAAATATATTACCGAAATATAGAACGGTCTTCAAAATACCTAAATTATTGTAATTAAATACCTACCTATCATTACGGACGAGACTACCATAGATTCGCACAGAATTATCAAATGCCAACATCGTAATTATACTCGTATTCATACAAAGGCGTACTGCTCACTCGATAATCCAAGACGTATTTATAGACACCACCTGACGAGGGTTTTCATCGGAAAGTTAGTATTCACTTACTCTTAACGCTGTAATGAATTTTCGGAAAAGCTCGCAATCCATTAGTTGGATAAACAATTTGTTAACGGCATTATAGATTCCTTAAATTACTTTATCGAATGCTATTGTGATTTATTGTAAACGCCTAATATGAATAGCAGTGCAAAGACGCTACCGTTTTCACATTTAATAGCATAATCATAACTCGCTTCAAAATTTAAATATAAAAACAAAAGCTCTACGAAGTAGAATATGTTTTTACTTCTAAATTTCATAATAGATAGCCAATATTAAATGATCTATTTAATTTTGTTATATTATGTTTGACATTAGAGTAAATTGACAAATCTGATAATAGATCACACTATATAGTATCAAACATAACAGAGTTAAGTGAATTATTCAGAACGCGTACAGTTTGCTATGAACTGCGTACGTTTGTGAGACGGAGACCAGTGCTTGAATCGGAAAAACATTTTTTAAAAGGGATGAATAAGTGTAAAAAAAAAAACATTCCCACCTAAATATTGAAATGTCTAACTGATTAGGATACAGTTAATACATTAGAGGGGGACAAGTGGACAACGCATTCGGGTGTGTAACGTCCACTTAACTATTAATTAGGTACCCGATTGTAAATAACCAATAGTAGGGTTATCGATAAATAGACACAATTGCACTCGGAATTCCGACCGCAGTCAATCGATTGATAAAAATACGAAAAAAGTAAAAAAAAACTCTATAACAGCATTTAAATATTATAAAAATTACATTTATTTCTAATCGTAACATTTTCAATAGTATTTATAGTACTCACTATTTTTTTTGTTTATATATATATTATATTAACATACATTATTGATTTATAAAATAAAATAATATCGTTGTAATAAATGTTTTGCGTTCGCTTCCGCGTAGTAAGTTCTATATATACCTAATATAATAATATACAATATAATATAATAGACGTAAGACTTGTATCAAGACAGACGGAGCGCTAAAACAGTACAACTTTTTAAGATTCATTAATAGAAATTAGAAAATAATATAATATTTAGGTATAACGTGCATTTTGGATACGAAAAAAAAATAATCTACTACTATATAAAGACTAGATCAGTATTTTAAAATGAAACATTTTTATAATTTTAATATTATACAATTATAATATATATATAAATTATATATGATTAGGTACTTAGGTATACATAATATATATTTAAAGATATTTTTTTTTCTCTCTTACGCACAAAATATTGCGACGAACATGACGTGTGTACACTATCGCAATATTAATAATTTATAAAGGCCTACCAGTGGACAAAATCATTTCAGTCTTTTCAATTTTTTTTTTATATATATAATTGAATATATTAAATATTACGTTGATCAAAGACTCGAAAACCGCATTTTTACAATAAGATGTGGGCGTACGATTCATTGACGATACACGTGTCGAACATGACGAGGGAACAAGGAAATAGGGAGGGGGGATAAATATGTAATTAATTAATAATAATAATAATAATGAATAATATAAAAAAATCATACACATAAAAAACACAAAGAGGGGTAGGCATACATAAATCGATGGTATAATCATCTTACAGGTATGGTAAAAATTAACAAATCATTGAGCAACAAAATATGGGCAGTTTAATTGTTTAGGTAGAAATGTAGAAAAAAATAGCGACGAAAAAAACACACACACACAAACACTAGCTAACGATCGTTCAGAATAGAATAAGTAGAGACCAAACACTTAAAAAGAAAAATACAAGTAAGTAGGTATAATAAATTATTAAAATCTTTGTGTGCTGACATTACTGCTTACAGAAATCTCCGTCAACGCGCGCGCTCGACTAAGTAAAAACCAATTTATAAGCAGAGTACGGGCACTCTTGGTTCGGGACTTGAATAATACTTTACTTCTGTCGATACCAAGTACCTATATTATTATTATTACATCGTAAGTGGAGTATGTCTTCATAATAATAATAATAATAATAATAATAACATGAATATTATAATGAACACCCACAAGAATTGATCACGATAGGTCAAAAACAAAACGATACGACACGACACGACGTCGGGGAAACACTTTCAAAAACCCGTCAAAATCAATAAAAAAATATACGTGTAATGATTTTATTATTAATTATTATATAATTAACATATTATTTTTATTCTTCGGGACCACCTCTACGTTCGTATATATACTTATATATTATTATGTGCAGTTAGAATTCCAAAGAACGTGACGGAATGCGTTTAACGAAGGACGACTAAGAGTAGACTTGGAACTTCGTAATAGAACCAAAGTCCTGAAGGAGTCCGGTCGGTGTGGGGGGGAGGGGGCAAAAACTCGTTTTTGCAGCACAATAGACGGAATGATTATGAGAGTAAAATGTTTATATAATAATAATATAATTTATGGTAGACAATATTATTCTACGATTCTAATTTGTATGCCAAGTCAAATAGAAATTATTTGTTTTTTTACCGAAAAGCTGAACGCTTAATAATCCCGAAAGGAAATATATAGTGTCTCCTCGTCCTTATCGACGACGAAAAATCGAAATATTTTCGTTATTATTGGAAAAATTGCAACCGAAGAGAAGGAAAATTAAGAGACAACGCGGAGGCGATATAATTGATGAATATAGAATAAAAGTATTTAATACGTTCGCTTTTCAACTACAATCTAAAACCGATCAGATCAATAATAGAGAAATATAGAATATTATAATAATTCAAAGATGGCGAAAGTGATAGTGAAATTTACATCGGGACGCTGTCGTCGGACTTCCGTGTCGAAATGGAAGTATAACAAATTTTGAAAAGAAATAAAAACTGAAAACATCGAAGTTACACACATTACACATAGGTAATATATACGTATATAATGCAAAATGTTTAGGTATACACTTTTTTTGTTGTTGTTTTCGACGAATATTATACATATAAGAGAAAGTATAATATTATGTCTGTACAGTCAAAACTCAGAATAATAATAATAATAATAATAATAATAACCATAATGATAATCATAATCAAAAAATAATAAATAATTTCGTATAGAATAGAATATCATATATATCGTTAGAGGAATGTGACGCCACGGCGGCCGGGCGGTACTTTCGCAGAGCAAGCGTGTAGGTAAATACATAAAATGTATAATATATGTATACATATATATATATAAATATAGTATAGGTATATAGGTAGAGTAAGGTTTGTGTTTGCCGCGTGTAGAACGTAACGACCACACACTCAGTGGCGGCGACTCAGTGGCGACTGGCGACGGCGGACCGGCGAGTTCTATCTCTGTATGACGTTGAGTATGTCCTTGAGGGTGCCGTCCAGCGTCTGGAATATGGTCGAGTGGTCGGCCTGCTGGCGGCCGCCGCCCGCGGACCGCATCTGCCGCGACTGCGATTCCAATCTGTTGAGCAGCTCGCGCAGGTGGAACCTGAGGTTCGGCGGCGCGGCCGTGTCGGCGTAGTTGAGGCACGACGTGTGGAAGCCGCCCACCTTGTCGGACAACGACAGCCAGCCGGCCGACGTGACGGCGGGCGCGGCGCGCAAGGCCCGCAGACTGCTGTCCACCGTCTGCCACTGTTCCAAGATGTTGGACGGCGACGCGGCGCCAGGCGTCGCGTATATCGCGTTCGACTTGTTGGTGTTGGTGGTGGTGGTGGTGGTTGACGACTTGGTGGCGGCGGCGGCGGCGGCGGCGGCCGCCGCCGACGACGGCTTCACCGGCACGGCCGGTCGGTTGTCGTCGTGCGGGGGCGGCCAGACGCGTCTCTCCTTGGCCGTCACCGGCACCGCGACCTCCGACGGCGGGCTCTCACCCTCCCAAAGTTTCTTCAGGCTGCTTATGCTGCCGGTGCTCCGCCGCTTGTCGTCGCCGTCGGCGCAGCCGCCGTCACCGATAGATTCGACCAACTCGCTGGCGCCGTCTTTTTTCTCGTCGATTTTCACTTTTTTCAACTGCGATTTTATCTCCGCGATGTTGTTGTCGATGCGCTGCAACTGCTGCTGCTGCTGTTGCTGGTGATTGTGGTGCAGCAGGTGATGTTGATCGCGATCGTCCTTGGCGACCTGCACCTTCCTGAGACTGGTTTTGAAATCGACCGGAGACATGGGCCGCTGCTGATCGTCCTTGCCCGCAGCGGTCGTCTGCTTCTTGTCGCCGGCCGCAGAGTGATGTTTCAGTTCCATCATTTCCTTCATGATGTCCGGAACGAGACTTTTCACGTCTCTGCTGGCGGCCGCGTCTTCGTCCGACGACGGCGACACTTCGGCCACCGCGATGTTCTTTTTCGACATCACGGGAGACGGTTCGACGACGACGACTGCCGCCGACGTAGATTTGCTGTTTTGCTCGGCCGGATGATGCTGCAGCAACCTGTCCTTGCGTGCCCCCGGCACGCACTTCAGTCTGGCCGGTTCCGATTTGGCGCTGTTACACGAATCCGTAGACGGCTCCCTGTGCCTGAGGCTCACCCCAAATCGGAACGTGGACATCTCCTCGTGGTCGAGGTCTTCGGGAGGCGGTGGCGGCGGGAACTCAAGGTCTGCGAGGTTAGGCGGCGGCGGTTGGGCGCGCACCGTCCGCGGCGATGAGGGCTGAAAATTCGTCGACGAGTTACTCCTAGTCATATTACCTGGTTGCTGAAAGGGCCGGCGCAACGGCATGTTGCTGCTGCGGTGCAGGCTGGCCGGCGGCTTGGCGGTGCTCGTCTCAGCCGACTCGCCATTGCCGTGCCTCAGCGACTCTAGGTACGCGCCGATTCGCGCCCCTTTCGGCAACGTGCCGTACCGGTTGATGGCGCGTTTCACGTTCTGCACTTCAAGCGCCGCGACCTTTGGCGTGTCTAGGTTACCAGTGTCTCTTTGGTAAAGGGGGTGCGACGCTTGGTGTTTGGACGTCTTTTTGGTCAGTGAACCGCGGTGCACTCGGTTCAGCTGCGGTATGTGGGTACACTCGTTTTCGGTTTCCGCTGGTTCGGCGCTTTCCTCGCTGGCACCATCGCTATCGGCCAAGCTGTTCACAACGTTCTGCAACTCTTTGGTAATTCCTGCAACCATATTTAAAGGCAAAAAAACGTTTTAATTAACATAGATGATTTGCCCTCCGATGAATTTTCAGAACACGGCTCACAAAAATTAAATATCATATGTATAATATCTTCAATAATGACTGATAAAAAAATAATTGATCTGCGAGAAGCACTCAACACAATAATTTAGAATGTATGCAAAATAACCATTAATTTGTTAATTTGTATTTATTAATCAATTATAGACAACCCCCCCCCCCTAAAAAAAAAACAAAAACCTATAAATCTGTTAAGATAAAACACTTTTTAAAAGTTTGTGTAAGCTAATGATTTGTGTTAGTTGCTAATCAATTGTCATGTTTATCATATTATATTTTTATAAGTCTTATAGGGGTGAAGAAATTGTTAAATTTATAAATTTATATGTATTAAGTAAGAATACAAAGGGAACAAAATTTGTACAATATTCAATATTCATAATATGTTAAATGTCAATAACAATATCAAATGTGAATTTTAACTTTTATTTTTTTTTTTTTTGTCTTAAACAAACCGTTTGGTGGAAAGTTGTCTTCGAAAAAATGTTGAGGAGGTAGAGACATGGCTGCATCATTTTGATCAGCCATCACTGGACCTCCATAATGGGAATCCCTAAATGAACTGCACGACGACAACAGACTGAAAATATTAAATGTTGCAAGATTTTAAAATAACTGTAAGATAACCAAAAATTAAACCAAATTACCTGGTACGTTTTGGGGGAGCTGGAGCAGTTTTACCACGTTTATTTGTAGGGCGTCGTAATTGCACAAGGCTTCCTTTAACCACTGGCCCACCAAATGTAGACAAATTACGTTCAACTTGTGTGATTGCTTCTGAAAAATATTTTATATTTTTTTTATTAAATATTTTATACAATTTTAATTTGAATTATAAAATAATTTACCATTTGACTCCAAAGAAGTACCCATAATATTAGAACTATTTCCGTGAGATTTTTTATGTGATAATTGGGGTGTTGTGCTCCCTTGCAACTGTTTTTCCACCTCTACAATAAGCAACAGACAACTTTTTTAGTACAAATTTGCTCTCATATGTACATTGAGTTAATATTTTTACCTTCAATGATATTGGATTCTTGAAACATATTTTCCAAAGCATGATGAATTTCTTTAAAAGACGGTCTCTCGTTTGGAGCCCACTGCCAGCATTGTTTCATTAGCTGATATATATTTGGTGGACACCCAGGTGGGCAATCCATTCTAATAACAAAATATGTTTGTTTTATTTTAGTTTAAGATTCTCATTATTTCAATGAATATGTATGGCAATACCTGTATCCTTTTTCTAACATATGATAAACATCAGTTAAATCAACTCCGGGATATGGTGACATACCATATGTTGCAATTTCCCATAGTAAAACACCAAACGCCCACACATCAGACTAAAATAGACAAATATATTAATTTGAAATTAATTAAAATACCACTAAAATATGACATACTTTGGTTGAAAATTTGTTATAAGCTAAGCCTTCAGGAGCAGTCCACTTTATAGGAAATTTTGCACCTGCGTGTGCTGTATATGTGTCGTCCCGCATTAATCGTGCCAGACCAAAATCAGCAACTTTAACAAGATGATTTTCTCCAACAAGACAGTTACGTGCAGCCAAATCCCTACAATAGGAAGTTATGAGCAATCGTCTAAAACAAATTAATATTTTTAAAGAACATTTACCTATGAATAAACATGCGACTTTCTAAATAACTCATTGCACTAGCTATTTGAGTGGCCATATACATGAGTACAACTGCATTAATATTTTCCCTATTGCCTTGCCGTAAATAATCCAATAGATTTCCTTTACTCATGAATTCTGTTATTATATAAAATGGCGGTTCTCTAGTACAAACACCTATAAATTGTGAATAGAACAAAAAAAGTAATTAAATAACAAATATTAAAAGTAAATTGCCATGTTAAACTGTTACATTATTATTTATTATACCTAGCAATTGAACTAAATTTGGATGTTTCATTTCTTTCATAATGGCCGCTTCCTCTAAAAAATCTTTGAGTGCCATTGTGTCTTCCTGTGAAATCATTTAATTCATCAGGATGAACAATGTTATAAATTAACAATTAACCAAATAGAAAATGTACAATTACATCACCATTTAAGACAATTGATTTATAAAAATACCTAATAAATAAAATAAATAAGTTAAGTTACCTTCAAGGTTTTTACTGCAACAGTCATATTATATCGTTTCCAAACAGCTTCATAAACATCACCATATTGTCCACCGCCAAGTTTATGTCTCATAACAATATCTGTACGATTGATTTCCCACTCGTCGGGTTCAGGACTAAGTGCAAACACTGTAGGCTTATTATGTTTAGGAGCTGGATACAAAAGTTGTGTAATGAGACCATCAGAATGCATTGAATGATGATGAACTAATTCAGCAAGAGTGTTAAAACGACTCTCTGTAGTCACATACACCTAGATTGCAATAAAGTATGTTATAAATATTAAATACCATTTTGATTTAACAATTTAAAAGTTGAGCAAATTATATACTTTTCCATCAGAAGTATCTTCATTAATGCGATAATGGTAAACACGTCCTTCATATCTTAATGAAATAGATCTTTGACCTGGAGAACTTTCGCTCTCCCTGACTAAAAAACTACCATTTATTCCAGAACTAAGTAAATATTCAGCAGCATTTCTTGATATAGGACCATGATACCAAGAATGTTTCTCCAATGAGTTAACAGGTGTAACATAATTTGATGGTACCCAACCAACTTGTCCTGGTGATGCATGCGCTTCACACCATTCACCGCTTTTGTTGTAAGATAAAATACGAACTTGTTCTCCTATAGACAAAATTAATTATGAGAAACTGTAAAAACAATATTTACAACTTAAAAATGATCAATAAGTGGTTGTTTAACAAAAACCTTTTTTAAGACTAAGCTGGTTATCACCGCCTGCTTGAAAATCATATAAAGCAACAAATAACTGTGGATCATCATCTTCTTGAGATTGCAATAAGTTTTCTTTTGATGTCCATCGAATTGAAGATTCTAAGTTACTTGAAATGGTTCCACCAATAGAACCACCAGAACTTCCACCTCCTGAAGGAATGGTACCAGGAGGATCGCCATCAGGAAGATCTGGTATGTGAGGTAAAGGTCGACTTTGTAATAACGCTTCTGCAAAAATAAATTATAGTTTAAATTATTAAATAAACTTGAAATACCTAAACATTTAGTTAGGTACATTTTTTGAATAAATTTATAAAATGGATTTTTAAAATGAAACTATAAATTACAAAATAATTTTAACTATTATTTACTACATTTCATAATATGCATTTAAAAATAAAAACCTATAAAATTTTTTTTTTTTTTTGCTTTAACCGATTATTATAAACTGATTCTACAATTTACGTAGGTAAGTATGTGATTGGCCTACAAAAATTATTAATAAATGTACTCATATCTGTCAACAAGATCAATTAGATGAATCTGCCGACCAAATATTAACAAGATATATTTTGTTTGAATAATAAATAAATATAGAAGATGTCAAAAAATCAATTAAGGTACCCATAGTATCCCAGTACCTATACTCTGGCTCAAAAGAGAATAATCAGTCGGTTGACAGATTTTCATCAGTGCTAAGCATCTCCCACTAACTACTCAGTGTTAATTTACTAAAATGTATTTAAAAAAATGTTTAAATATTTATAAATTAGGTACAATACATTTTATATCAGTATAATATTCGGTGTAATGTTTATGTTATATCTATAATCAGGTCTTATTCAATTATCAATATACATATATTTTCCTTCTAAGTAGGTACTTTTTTTTTTTAATAGATAGATTTAAAAATTAACTAACAGTTATTCAAATATTTTGACTCTTGTATTTATTAAATGATTAAATCTATTACCTACTATAAAATTAATATTTAAAATGCGCTCAAGTATTTTTAAGAAATCTACAGACATCCATTTTGTAAATAATTAAAGTCTGTCAAACGAATAACATAATTTTAACATATTGAACAGAAATGGCCTTTACTTTCAAATAAAATGCATTTATTACCAAATACAATTACTTGATACTAACATTATACCTACATTATTAGTTGGAACATTTTTAAATGCTATGTGTTTATAACATTGTACAAGCTCTTTTCTAAATATATCATATAAATATCACCAACACTTACCATACATTAAGTTAAATAAAAATACCTATTATTAATTTTAAGTCCTACATATAATTATTATTTCAGGGAGTTAAAATTATTTAGTACTTAACATCAATATGAGGTATATTCCGAAACAATTACAAATACATGGCAACTTAAAGTTTGATAATAGGTACCTATATTGTGTAATTTAAACTGTAATATTTTTCAGTTAATTAGATTCAATTCAATGTTTAGCCGTTTAGGTTATGCTTAGTTATGCTATCATTTAATTTAAATAGGTTATATCTCATTATATAATAAGTAGGTGCTCACTTTTTTGCTAATTCAATTATTTTTGTACAAACATAATTCGTATGTCATGAATTATCCCCGTTTACTTAGTGCCACATAATAAAAACTTAGTAAATTTGAGGTATAAATTTAGTAGATAAGTGTTGGTTAAATTTATTATAAGCTACCTATTAAATACAATATTTACGTTTAGCTTGTAATAATACACCATAAACTTATTTTTATAGTAAGGTACTTATATATTTATGACTTAATCGTACATATTTTGTACTTGAATTGTTGGATGTAACATGATCCCCCAGCGGTTCTTGATAAACTAATGTAAAAATGTACATTAATAAAGTTATTAATATTTTACTTAACAATCTTACAAGTGTTGGTTGCCTTTTATTCGCAAAACCTATTAGAAAGTGTGTTTTAATATTGTTAATATTATTGTACATTGTACCTTTGTTCCTATTTGAAAACAAAAACATATCAGACTGAGTTTTCGATCTAATAGAGAACCTACCACCTATCTTATTTTTTTTCTTTTGGCCGTTTACCCAGCACAACAATAAATATTGTAAATGATTTTAATTCGATAGTAGGTTCATGGGTAGCATATAAATATTTTAATTTTATAGTCATAGTTTGTGGACACTGATAAAGCTTGTGACTCACATCAAATGCATCTATAATGACACATTTAATGCCTAATACACGAGTAACGCATGCTCACCACTGTGCTCGGTGAATATGTTCAGCCCTTGGTTCTTGCCGTCTTTGACATTGGAAAACCGCGGCTTGGACCTGATGCTGCGCACGGTCAGCGATCCCGAGGTCAGGGCGCGATCCTTGGTCTGCTGCGCGCCCATGGTTAGAGACCATTACCCGGACAGATGGACGGCGTTCAATCCGCGACGGTGGCGGATACGCATAGGGTAACACGTCTGAGCGTACGTTGACCAAACACCGATTGGCCGGAGGAGCGCATTGCCGTCAACACAGAAACGGGACGGGCTCAGATCGCACGCACGTAACTTCCGCGCCGACTTGACTCGGTAGTCGGCTGAGAAGCCGCAGCAGCGACGGTAACTTGCGCGAGGAGACTCGCGGCGGCCCGACGGACTTAAAGTTATTGTCACTACTGCTGCTCGTCGTTATTAGTACGTGTATTATTGTTGTTGTTGCTGTTGTTGTTGTTGTTATTAATGTTGTTATTTGATTGACGTCGGCCGTCATTCGTCGTCACTCGACAGTCGACTTCGTCTGCGGCGATATTGTACTAATGTACGGTGTCTGATTTTCTTCTCCAGTTTTCTCGCTTATCGCTTATCACTCGTAACACCCGCGTATGCTCCAAGTTTTCGTCTATACCCTGGTTCGTTGTTGATAACCGGTTACACGACCATCATAATATAATATGAATGAAATCAATTTTGTGATACAACCATAATAATACATATATACCATAATAATAATAATCTACTCCAACTCGACAGATAAGCGTTATCAAGTTAAGCCATTGCTTATCGTTCACTCTGCACCATAGAATATGCACTGCACCGTTTTATGATATAGAAACTTACTCTGAAGGTACCTACACTAGCCCCGACTTCGAACTTCCAACTTCGGAGGCCCCGTTACTCGTTAGTACCAATTCATCGACGAGACCGTGAACTACTGTCAGACCGTCTCCAACCTATCAACAAAACCTAATTATTATTACAAAACTGAGCGCAATATTCGGAATTTCCAAATTTAATTAGTTAATACTTAAATTATAGGTACATCATAAATTAATTAGCCGTACATCGTCGTGTTAAGTTCACTCAAATGGTAAGTCTTGTCTTCACACAAACTATTCTGTTCCTAATAATATTCATTTTGAGCACTTCACTCATCATATGATTTATAATTGAAATTTATAAGCTTGCTACCTGCTTACTTACTTTGATTAAACGTTTAAATCATAATTATCATGTTAGAAAGTAACTTATGATTACTAACGGCTAAGTAGGTATTAATATAAATTAATGAAAATAATTATTTACCAACGATCACTTATTATGTTATTATATGTTATTAAGTTTATCTTAGTTCAAAGAAATAGAAAGTATCTATTAGGTACTAGTTTTATATTATTAATTCATACCATATTTAACACTTACACTCTCACTATTATAAATTTACATTCATCTTCAAACCCTTGCTGTTATAAAACATAAAAATTGTATTTAAAATTTTTTTTTTATTCTTTTAGAATCATAATACATTTTTAATTATTTTCACTTAACAAAAAAATTACTTTTTTACTGCAGGTAGATATATTTTTATAGAATAAATTAAAACTATGATACATCATGTTTTTAGCTTATAAATTAATTGTTGCACTACAATATTTTGACTTGTAATGTTTTCCAATTATTACTAGATAGTTGTATTAGTCACCCTTTAACATATTACTAGGCATGACTCAATAGATCTATTTATTTATTTATGTTACTAGTTATCTTAAGTAGAGAAAAAAGCAGATACGTTTAATTGTATACTTAACTTATTTTGTTTTTAAATACATAAAGGATCCATAGTTTATTTATGAATTGGTATAAATTCAACAAACTTGCAGATTAACTCTGTCCCAAAATATGACAAGTTAATAATTAAGTATTTTCTTTCAGTTGTGTGTGCCAGTTAGAAGTATACTGGCTTTCCAGTCTAGAACAGTTTGTTGTGTTGCTATAAAATCGAATGGCTTAATTTATCCAAACAATACAAACTTCACAATTGCTAAACGTCATGCTGTCACAGACTTTGTTGGTGTTAATACTAAAAGTAAGATTTCTGATTTTATCAACAGATTTCAAATAATGAATCCATTAAATAAGTCTGTAAGTAAACATATCATAATATCATATAATCAAAATGTTTCATGTTAGTATATTATTAATAACTTATGATTATTGTTTTAATATTGGTATTTTATAGAAATATGAAGCAAATAGTTGGATTTTATATGAAAAATTGGTGGACCAAATTCCTTTTGATCAAATCATGATAAGTAATAAAATGAGTTTTAAATTAAATATTCTATTTACTTTCTAAAAACTGTATTTCATTTTCAGAACTTGATTTGCCGGATACATTTAATTCTTGGTTTATTATAACAGAACTACACTTATGGATGATATTTGTTCGTTTTATGCATGAAGGTACCCAAGGAACAATGATAAGAAATTTTATCATGGAAGCATTATGGAATGATGTTGAGTTTCGTTCTAAGAAATTAGCAACCGTAAGTTTTTTCAAAGACAAGTTGCTCTTATATAGCTAAAAAAATACACGTATTTATGACTCATAATATATTACATTTTTAACATACAGATCTATTTATTAACTTATATTGTTTGAGAAAATAAAAGATTTATCATAATTTTTAAGTAACATTATTACTAGTTAACAAAAAGGAACTTTCATAATACAAAATATACTAATAAATAATAATTTTAATATTATTAGGTAAATGCAGATGTCCGACATCGTCAAATAAAGGAATTAAGTGATCAATTACGAGGGGCGTTAGTAGGTTATGATGAAGGATGGCTCACTAATGATATGGTCTTAGCCAGCATGGTATGGCGTAGAGTATTCAATAAAGAATGTAATGACCCAGAAAAAATTGAATTAGTAGTGAAATATATTAGGAAACAGGTAAAATAAAAAATATATTAACTCTTATGGTAACTTTAAGTTGGTCAACATTTTATTTTATATATTATTTTCAACAGATGTCCATTCTTCAATTGCAAACATTTGACAGTTTATTTACAAAAAAAGATGTCAAGTGGATAAAATTTGTATAGAATTATTGTAAAAAGAAAAACAGTGTTTATTATATATAATATTTTACCTAACAAAATTATAAATTAGATATTTTAACGATCAATGATTAATTACGTTTAGTGTAAATCTCACAGAATTCATTAAGAGTGTTGTCAGCAATTCTATCAAAACTGTCAGACATATTTATATTGTCTTGGACAACTATTTCTTGATCGGACTTTCCATGAGCAGCACTATTCTCTGCTAAATGTAGACTAGCAGATAAATTGGCAGACAACACATGTTCACTGTCTTCCAACAAGGTAAATTCCCTTAAATCACTAGAATCTAAACGATCTAAGCTTGAAAATGTAGCTTCCATAAGATTAGGCTCATTATTGCCTTCTGTTGGGCATGGTAAAGGTGTTATAGTTATGGTAGTTGGTGGAGCATAATTTTTTTGAGATGTTGGATTATGACTGTTAAGTGTAGGACACACTTCTGTAATAGTGCAACCACTTATTGTGCCGCAATTAGTTTGAATTCCTGCACAATTCCATTAAAACTATTAAAATTACATGTATTTAAGAAAAAATTTGAGGTAAAAGTGATAAGAGAATATTTAAACTTTTAAATCTGGATTTAAAAATTGTTTAACAAACAAGAAATTATTTTGGACAAAATGTAAAATATTATGTATCGTTGATTTAATACACAACCAACATCGAACACATTAATAATATAAATGTAAATATACATTTAAATTATTAATCAAATATTTTTGAAAAAAGGCTATTGGATACTAACTAGCTTTTGCAATCAAGAACACTGATTCATATTAAATTAAAAAATGAGGGTCGCAGCCTTTGTGTGGTCTTCGTCTTACAGGCGTCCGTCGTACCAAATTTCTGTTCACCAGTTCCAATAGCGTGTTTTTAGTTTTAACATTATAATTAACCCATTTTAAAATGTAGAGGTAAGATTATTATCCAGGGTCTCATTCAGGCCTTTATTGGTATTATAATTTTTAAGTAAGTTAGGACCTTTTGAAACTGAAAATTTGGTATGTTGCAGAGGGTGCGACATCCTCTTAACCATTGTTTATAAACTTTAAAAAATCAATGATCATACTATCTTTTTAAGCTTTTTCTTTTTTATTATTCAACATAACCAGGGCTCGTAAGTTCATGCATTTGCATGTTTTTTTTGCTACCCAGAAAAATATGCTAACTGAGATACAAATCCATTTCATAACAATAGTAATAATAATATGAAGTTTAATAGTACATGTTTTTGCATGTTTTGGGTGTAAAGGCATATTTGGCAAATAATCGTTTTTTTAGAGTTATTATTATATTATTTCTTAAAAAAATTGTATTGAAAAATATTTGAAATGTTTCTTGTTTCTTATTTACTTTCCCGTTTACTGAATGATAGTGTTTTGATTTATTTTTATTTTCGTGTGACTACCTACTTTTCTAGTATTTCCCTATTTAGATTTTATACGTTTTACTTAGTACCGCGGAAACAATTTTATAGCTACCACTACCATCCTCTGCTATGTATAGTCCCTCGTCGAAACGATACCTGTACAATGTTTCTTACCAATCCGCATCTACAAATTTGTACCCTGGTAAAGTATAGTTTTCTTGCACATGCCAGTCGCCGATGAGTTGTTTAACAGTACAAGTCGTGAAAATGTCAAATAACTAATATTTCATTCCAAATATTTTCATTGTAGGTGCAGGATAATGGTGTACAAAAATTAGACAAAAAAAGTTTACCTAATTAAAATTAATATGACAAATCCATATGATTATATGAACTTCACAAGTATTAATTTTATTAATTTTGATTGTTAAATATATAAAAATTAAAAGGAATAAAATACTTTTAAAATTAATGGATATATTCTTATTATTTTTAAATTTGCTCATAAATAATTTACATGATGCATATTTTTGAACTTTTTAGTGCATGAACTTACGAGCCCTGAACATAACCATATTAAGTTTTGTACACCTAGCAGTACTGTATTAACATACAATATATGTTTTATTGCTAGTTTGATATTAGCTAGTACATATTATATAGTTTTTTTTCATCTTCTTAATATTCCTACAACATCAGATAGAATGATAATTATTTTACCTGAAGGTGGTCGAATATTGGTTTTCAGTAATGAAGTCTGCCCATACAATGAGTTAGAATTTACATTTGGGAACTGATATTCAAGTGGTGAAGGTGTTCTTGAGTTATACAAAGGTGAATGTTGACCAAGAACACTTGAATTTGAAAGTGGATATAAACCACTATAAGGATTTGGACTAGTTTCTATACAATAAGAATGAGTGAATATTAATTTTTGAACGTGAAAATTCTAATGTATAATTCAAACCTGGTTCTTCTTTGATTGGTACAGAAATAGACAATTGGTCAATAACCATTCCATCAATAAAATTAGAAGACTGAGCCATAAGTCCTAAAATAATAGAATTGGTAATAAAAATAGTGTTTTGTTACTATTTAAAAATGACAAAAGCAATAGCATGCAAATGTAACTGTTGGAAACACTTAACAAAAAAAGCAATTACAATTGGTAAATTACAAACAGAAATAACAATCTACACATGAAAAATCACATCACCAAGAAAATAGTGTAAAAAAGATGATAATGATCTAAAATTACTTAAAAAAATCTATTTTGAAAAACAAATGGATAACTAATATAGGATGGTATACCACGTGTATCTAATTATCTAATTAAAAAAAAACATATCATTAAGATTAAATTAGTCTTATACTTACTTTCAAATTATTAAAGAGCTTGGACTGGATTATTTGTATATACTAGGGTGATAATTTTTTTATCAGAGCTAGATGAAAAGTTAATAAACTACTTAGGTATCCATATAAAATGTTCTAGGGGTTGGTAGTCAAGCTTGAATATTTTTATTAAACATGTAATGTATGAAAAAAGTTTAAGTTAAATTCAATTTAAAGGATGAGGGGGGGGGCGACTGCAAAACTGTCAAGTATTATTTATTTTTGGATTTAACTAGTTTAAATTTCATTTGAGAAAAAAGAAACAATTTTGAAAATAAATCATTTAAGCATATGTGTGCTACATAAAAAAACATACATATTGTATGTCAAGCATTGCAATACTTATTTTTTTTAAATAAAATAGGAAATATAATTAAATACACATTATATCCCATCCAGCATTTTGAACTCTACTTTAGAAAACCACATATAACCAAGAAATACTCTACCCTACTTTTTACTTACTTATTATTTTCTCAATTTTATTTGTTCGTTTCTTCTCCTTGTATTTTCACATACTAAATATTAAATAAACTACAATTTTTTTTTTACATGTATAAATACTTGAACATGTAAAGAAAAGGAAAGAAACACAATTAGGCTTGTACTGAGATATACACATTATCACGTGTTCGTTAAATTTATAAATACTAATATCATGCTAATTAAATGAAACTGACATAAACTGATTGACACCGGCACCGAATAGTAACAATTTTTTTAAATCACCTTACATCGCCCAGGGTTGTTTATAAAAGCTTAGATGTCATTTATATTATTTTTACTCACTAGGGTCACTCTGTAATTGCCTCAAAAGTTCACTTTCGCTAGATAATTTCTGTCTTTTCCTTTTCAACATGGCTGGATCTATAACGCGCAATAAAAAAATCAATAAACATTGCATAAACTTAAAATAATAAAATATATTTTTGAACATTAACTTGGCTCACAATATTTAACTGCAATATAAAAATGTATATACCCATAAACAATATTAGAAAAAAGAACATGAAAATGATGATCAAAAACAAAATACACAATTATTTATATAATGAAAAAGAGGAAAATAAGTTGTTAATATGTTAATTTATCAACTATGGACTAGACCTTAATTAACTCTACTCCTATAATTAAATTATACTCAATAATCTTAGTAAAATTGAATTGTTAGTACAAGCAAAATGTTTCAATATTCACTGCCAGTCAATAATTAAATTAAATTATTTTATAACCCTGATACGTTTATTATTTTTAATTTCAACAATTTGTTAATAAATGTTGAGCAAAATGATAATAGTTAACTTTTTCTTTTGATTACATTATTTTACAGTTGTAACTGTGCCCCCTTCCACAGTGCTATAATACATAGATGATTCGTCAAACTCCGACATGGCTGCATGAGGTGCTACGGAAGTATATAAGGCATAATTTTCTGCTTCTGTCAAAGGAGTGTCATTAATAGGTTCATTGATACTACTATTAGATGAACACATCGATTTACTTCTTTTCCGCATACTCAATAACTTATGCAACAGTTTGATTTTTGATGGTTTTTCTTGTACCGTAGGAAGATATTTTGTTGGTCTAGGATTTTTTTTAACTCTTTTTGGAGGCAACGGTGGAGCAGTATTATTGTCAAACTTCGGTTTAGAACTGCTAGGAGGTCTGGGTGGTAAGATTGAAACATCCTCGTAACTCTGACATCTTTCAGGTATTGAACATGGATTTTTAAATGCCATTTGAAGACTAGAGTATGTTCCACGCAAATCTTCGCCCATAATTTCTGAAGACGAACTAACTGTATCTTCTTTATTCTCTTTGTTAATGTCATAACATGGTTCCTCGTTGACCTCCATAGGTTCATCTTTTATTTCTACCTTAATATCTTCATCCTCATTATATTTATTTTTATCAAAAACGCTAAGCGGTACTTTTTCTTCTGGTTGATCATCTGCCCAGTAGTCATTGAAATTTTTTTCTGGTAGCCTATCATATTTCTGAGGGGACATACCTGAATCAACCGGAGTGAACAAAAATGGACGAGCTTCACTACACATGCCATCTGAAGGTCTTTTTAACTGAATCCATACATTTACAGGGCCATCAATCTAAATTAAAAGAGTAAAATAATTTTTTTTTTTTTTAGTGTGTTCAAAATATTAAACCATAAATATGTAAAATAGTACATTAAAAATAAAAAAAATTATTATTTAAATTTACCTGCATTATTTTATACTTCGGAGTCCTAAAGCTAATAGCCACTTGTTTATGTACATCTGAAGCTTGAAAATCCGCATAGCCTTCCCAAATGCAT